CAGCTATAACCCAAACAGCTTAAAAGGTTTAAGTTAGTCCTACATTCATATAGTAAATTTAGCTAACTGTCAAATGATCTATGCAATTGTGAAAATAACATATAAAAACAAAGTAATATTCAAAATTATTCAAACTATTTATATTTAAATCTGACTTTAAAAAAATTTGAAATGTCTTGCATCCAGGATTACATTAAGATTGAACATAAAATGGGATTTGCTATCCTTGCCTTCTGAACTCTGATGTGCAATGTTTATTGCTAATATATCACTGTCTCAACTTCTCACATCATTTGTAATAACTGAAGTAATAATGAATACTGGCTAGTATAAATGTATTTTTAAAAAGAGTTAACTCACCAGTTTTTCATATAAAAATGATGACTGCAAATAACCTTTTAATGTATAGCCAAGGGAAAGGACAAGTTGTTCACAGGAGTTGAATATAATAGAAGGATTTTTTTGGCCTATATTTGATGGGGCAACTGTGCATTAGTACTTATATAAACACCTAAAAATAATGCTTGATAAAGTCAACAAACACCATGTTAAGGTGGCAACAGAGGTAATAAAAACCACAATAAATATAATGCAATATTATACAATGTGCAGATAAAACTTCTCTAGACAAAGACTTATCTGCAGAGAGATAGCAGAATACTAAAAAAATAACTGTATAATGGCTCAAGTAAAATGTTCAAAAGCAAAAAGACAAACTGTCACTCTCTGTTTGTTATATAAACTCACAAGCAAGGCACACAAACAAAAGTCCAGGGATAGTGAATAGTAGTGTTCATCATATGTCTGGTGGCTGCTGCATTTGTGGTATGACTCACTAGAAGGGGCAGTAAATTAATTTTTAGTGATCTGAAGACCATTTAAAAATACAAAAGTTATTTGTGGAGGCAAGTGGTTACTGATGGTGGAAATAAATAAAACATTAAAATCAGTTTGTAATAATTGAAAAGCTAAGTAGAGTGTGGCAGCAAAGAATCCATTGGCAAACATGGAGGAGAGCTTTGCTAACAATGTGCTTATGCTTGGTATAGACATGTTCAAAATGACTGATGAATCTGTGCTGTTGATGTTATATGTATGTTCTAGTGCATTTCCTGTGTTCCCAAGATGGCTAGTGCCAACAATAATCCTTCAGAGGAATACTGTGGAACAGCTACAGGATTGTACTAACTGCCCCTACCTTACCTTATGTCATCTACATCTAAATTACCATCATCAGCCATTTCTCAGTTAACACCAGGAAATATTACCTTCTTTGCCATCAGGGTCTGTATTATTAAATTAAGATACTAGATACCTTGTTGATAAAACCTAAAAAGGATTCTCTCACTAGCATAAAAGGAGGATAAATAGGCCCATCATAACATTTTTTCTAAAATATTGAAAATAATAACACAAACTTCCAACATCCTCTTTGTACAAAGACATGTAATATGTGGTAGTTGGGTAACAATGCTGAGAACACTGTGCTGACTATTCTTATGCAAGAAATCCATAAAAAATCTAATACTTATATCCTATGTAAATAGACCATCAATGTTACATGTAACCTACAATGTGGTAGGATATGAGCACTCTCATCCATGTGCTTGAAGAAAAGCCTATGTGGCTAATATTTTAAATCGAGACTATGTAGAGTTATTCGTGACTGTCACACTTGAAAGATATTCTTCTGCCATCTTGAGATCAAATAGAGCTCTGAAACAAGGAAATTTCTGCTTTTTTTGTTTTATATCTCGTGTGAAAATGTTTGTTTAATTCATATTATTTTACTTGTTTGTTTGAATCTATACCAACACAACTTATTGAATAATTCTCCAAACTATGTGTTGGGAAACTTATCTTCTTTCATTGAGAGCATGAGACTGTCCTGTTGATGTTATATGTATGTTCTAGTGCATTTCCTGTGTTCCCAAGTGTGAATGAATAAAGGTTCACTGTATTAAGAAAAATATTTCACATTATGTTTTTAATACGTCAATAAATTTGTTAGCTGTCAGTTAATGCGTGTGGTCGGCTCTAAGATAGAAATGTGCATTTCTGAGCTGGTGTGCCGGTTTCGAATCTATGCAGTTTGGAAAAGTATTCTCCGCATTTTAAGCCGTGGACGTTAGGGTGCTGCTGACTAACTACCTTCCGTCTGATCAGTTGTTCAATATTAGACTGCGACAGATAACCTTAGTAACTTTGCCATAAATACGTATAGTTGTAATTTTGTCTTTTGTATGGTGGTTAGGGCGATCT